GATGAGGGAAGCCAGTGAAGACGATGGACCTTGAGCAGCTTGGGCAAACCGCCTACTGGGGGGACAGCTTTGTAATTTGGGGGACCCTGGGCTTTGGTGGAGGGCGTGGGGTGGATGACTAAGGCCCTGTAGAGATAAGATTGTGCCTAGGGGAGGGACTAAATTAGCCAGGCCAGGTGAGCAGGCTGGGAGGTATGACCTTTGTCCCAAGGAAGATGGGTAGGAGAGACTGCCTGGAGTCTGTTGGTGGAGAGGACTTTTAGTCCAACGAGGGAAGAAAAGGGAGAAGAAATTAGGGCACCTGGGGCAGCCTGCACTGGGGAGGCTCTGGGCTACAGCTTGAGCACTTCCTGGTGGATATTCCACAGCCCTCCGCCACCCCCCCCCTTCCCTCTCTTCAGAGCATTTGTGCCCTTCCCGAAAGCACACTGGCCCCCCCATAGCCTCCTCCTCGTTCCCGCCCCTCCTGGTAAAACCAGCTGCCCCACACCAGGGCTTTCTCTTTGACTGGTCACCCAGGACCCTCACAGCTCTTCCTGTAACGACACCCCCACCACCACCACCACCACCACCAAAGTGGCTAGAAACTTCCTTTCCAAGGGCTGCAGTTCCTCCTCTGACGTGGCCTGTTATGCCAAGAGATATTTCACAATTGATCCTGCTCTGAGGGGCTTCACAGTTTTACTTCACTGTATATTTTAGGCATGGGTAGGCAGGAGGTGGAGGGGGTGGGAGAGGCTCCAAATAAAGTAGCAGGTGAGCAATTCCTGGAAGGCACGCATCTCAGGGACTGAGGGCTTAGGACAGGGGAGGGATAGCCTGACCAGAGGGTGCCCACCCTCTGGCCCTGTGCTCTGTCCCCTAGGGCAGAGGGGGCTCATTGCATTTTGAAAAGGAAGCGTCTCTATCTCGTCTGCCTGCTGCCTGGTGTAGATAGTGGGGTACAGTGCCTTGGCCGGGCCAGGTGAGCAGAATCTGGGGTTGGGCTCTGTTGTCCTCCAGGTCCACTCTGCTGTCTCTTGACTCGGTCACTGGGCATTAAGTCACTGGCCTCTCGAATGAGGAGGACCACTCAGGTCTACCTACTACCTGGTCTCCAGGCTGGATTCAAGTGTGGCTCTGCCCCACCAGCTGGGCACCCCGAGATAGGCATGTTGATTTGGCAGGTCCGCCTTGAATCTTGTTGGACATTGTGTGAGCCTCTCTCCTGCTTGTGGTGTGGCAGTCTCCTCCATCAGATGGCATTCCAGGACACAGACCCTTCCTCATTTCTGTGTGCCCAGCCCCTACCCACAGGCTCTGCACAGGCTGTTTTTTGTTTTGTTTTTTAAGCTTTTTAGAGACGGGGGGGGGGGGGGGGGAGAGAGAGAAACATCAGTGTGAGTGAAACATCAATTGGCTGCTTCCTACACACCTCCTACCTGGGATTCAACCCAGGTATGTGCCCCAACCAGGAATCAAACCGGCAATTTTTTGGTGCACAGGACAACATGCAACCCGCTGAGCCACACTGGCCAGGGCAGCAATTTTTTTTAATTCAAGAAATATTTGAGCATCTAATTTGTGCTGGATTCTATGCTGGGCACTGGAGAGTCTGCAGTGAACATAGACCACAGTCCCTGCCTTCGTGGCGCTCACATGTGGCAGAGGGGGCAGGCACACAGGTAAGACCTGCAGTGAGTGGGATGGAGGAGAGAGAGCAGGGCAGGAAGGAGTGCTGACCGAGGAGTTGTGTTTTGAATGGAGTGGGCAGGGAAGTCCTCACTGAGAAGGTGGCATCTTGACCAAAGAGCTCCAGGCCGAGGGAACAGCAGCTGCCAAGGCCCTAAGGTGGGGCCATGGCTGATGAGATGTGTCCACGGAACTGCAGGGAAGCTGTGTATTCAGATTAAGGCAGGTAGCGTAGAAATCGGGGGCTGGAGGAGCTGATGTAGCCAAGCCACAGCCCAGAATCCCAGGAGGGAGAGCAGGAGGACAGTACAGTTGATTCTAGCAATCCATCAGCCCGAAATGCATTTCCTGGCTCTGCCCACCCCAGACCATTGCTGTTGAGAGGTTTGGGCATTAGGCATTTCGTGGGGGAGGTGTCTGTGTGGTCGTGGCTGCTGTGGACTTTGCTGCCCTCAGCCGCGTCAGATCAGATAAGCCTGCCCGCATGAGTGTGGAAACAGCTCTTGCCAGACTGTTATTTCCACCACACAACGGGCACCAGCAAAACCCACCCAGGTGATGGGCATTAAGCGGGCAGAGACTGTGGGGCCATCTCCCTTTCCCACTGTCAGTGCTGTCAGGGGTGCGGCCAGCTCAGCATTGGAGACCTGCAGAGTCGCTGGCAGCCTGTGCTTGTCAGGTTCTGGCCCGCCTCCCCTAGGACTGTTTCCTCTTCTCCTTCTTGAGCTCCTGACCTTCCTGAGCCCCAGGGTGCCTGGGCCTCTGTTCACTCGTCTACCCAGTGGCAGTTGGCGGCACAGTCCTGTGCCCTGGTCTCCTAAGGAGTGTGTGTGTGTGTGTGTGTGTACGCGCGTGTGCGGTGTGGTGTGTGTGTTGTGTGTGTGTTGTGTGTGTTGTGTGCGGTGTGGTGTGTGTTGTGTGCGGTGTGTTGTGTGTGTGGTGTGTGTGATGTGTGTGTGTGTGTGTGTGTGTGTGTGTGTGCGATGTGGTGTGTGTGTGTGTGTGTATGTGTGGTGTGCAGGAGAAAGTAGGCAACCAGAACTGTGTGCATCCCTTGGAGTGTCACATGGAGTCTGAGGTGGCAACTTAGTGGTCCAGAGCTGTGGGGTCCAGGTGACCTCTGACCCCAGCTCCCACTAGCAGGCTGGTACTAGTAACACCAGTGTTTCTAACCCCACTTCTTGACTTCCTTCAGGAAATGGGAAGTTTTCTGACTGTGGGGCCTATGTTTAATTGATTCAACCTGCTTCATCTTCTGAGACAAGTGGGTTCTTTCCCTACAGTGTAAACATGATTCAAATGAAAACAGAAGCTCGGTAGCTAATACCTGTGGCTCTGCTCATGGGAGCTTTCTCTTTGAAGGGATCAGAAAGAGGAAGACCTAAACAGAACTCGAGTGTGGGAGAGTGGGTGGGAGCGCTCTTATTCTTGAGTCATTTTGTCACCCCCACTCCCCTGCACTTCACAAGCCTATTGCCATAAAAAAGGAAGCCCCGAATCTCCAGTGGCCTGTGCTGTCTGCAGTGGATGTGGGGTCTGCTCGTCACTGGAATCCCATCTCCCTCTTAGACTGGAGAGAGAGTAGGAGCCAGTTTATCCTTCCTGATCACTGGTTTTCCTGGGAGGAATACCCACTTCAAAACACAGGCGCCTTCACCTCATGCTCAGTGCCTGTTCAAGTAGAAAAAATACCAGTCAGAAAA